CAAAAAACATTTTAACATGTTTTATTGAATTGCATAGGCCTATTTTTATATTTCACAATACCCTGTACGTTGTTTAAATATATCATTGTTAATCATTGTATTACGTATTCGTGTTCATTGCACTTTATTTAATCATTGAGAAATAAGAAACTCAATTCATTTATGTATGGCACTGATTACAGGTAGAAATTAAATTTCGAACAATTTTTCATTTTCGCAATAGATCTATGTTTGTCACATGATCATAGCCGTCGGAAGCATTTTGCAAGTCCGGCCATAGTAAGAGCGGGATGGGAGGGAGTCCATACCCACCTCAGCCCCACCATGGTTGGGCTGAGGTGCGAAAATTTGAGGAAATAGTACCTCTAGATGGCAGAAAAGGACACTATATAGTTAAAAAAATCATCACATCACCATTATAGTCAAAATGAAGCGCCAGCAAATTTCTCATGAACTTTTATCATCGATTCGGCAACCATAGAATCATTAGTATGTGTGATGAGACCATAGAAAATAAGACTTAAAAACATTGTCTTTGGTGTTTTTACTTTACTTTATCACTTCAATAAGATGTGAGTCCACACCCATCTCAATCCCACCATGGTTGGGGCTGAAGTGCGAAAATTGTGGCAAAATAGTACCTCTCATGCCCGGGAAATGTCACATTTATATAGTAACATTCGTCATCATCACATCACAATTATAGTAAAAATGAAGCGCCAACAAATGTCTCATGATCTTTTATCATCGATTTTCCGCAACCATAGAGATCTAATTAATATGCGTGATGTACCATAGAAAATAAAACTTAAAACATTGTCTTTTTATGTATTTGCTTTACTTTACTTACTTCAAAGCCGTAAGACCATACCCACCTCAGCCCCATCATGGTTGGGGAATAATACCTAATAATAATAAAATGACACTGTTATATAGTAAAATTCATCATCATCACATCAAATGATCTTTTATCTGCAATTATCGGCAATAATGGAGATCTAATTAACTTCTGTATTGTACCATAGAAAATAAAACTTAATTGTCTTTGATGTATTTACTTTCATTTACCTACTTCGTGTGCCGAAAACCAATCTTATACTTTTTCTCATACTTCTCAAATATAATAAAGGCACGCGCTCTCGAGTCGTGTATTACAGATAATTCAGATGTTAGTGGGCAGAGATACCGGAATCTTGCTATAAGATAAGAGGTACAGTACTCTACTTTTGCTGTACAGCGCTCTTTCGTTAAAACCTGGGTCATTAATTATGCAGTTCAATTCAACCACTTTCAGGTAACTTCTTTACTTATGAAATTACGTTGCGGTCGAAAAGTGAGTGTTACCAAAACTGCCTTTAAAATACGTAGGGCCGTGTCCCCCGTCTCCCCATGATCTGCGCCCATATATGCTGGTAACCATGAGTAGAACCACTACCCGGTTCCCCAAGGGGCGTACTTGTACAACACCATGGTTGAAAAAAATTGCTCCTCTGCCGGGAAATAGCACATACATACTTTACAAAAATGCATGTCCCTCACTTCAAAAGGGTGATAAATTTTGATTGCAACTAATTAGGGCCGGCTTGACCATTAAATACTTTGTGTCACATAACAGCCTATATACGGATTCCACTTGAATTTTAATCGGTTTTTTTTAAAGTCGATTCTTGACCTACAATCATCAACCTAATAATAATTATCTACATTATCATCACCGCCATCATCATCATCGCCATCATCATCATAATCATCAACCGTCATCATCATTATCATAACCACCACCAACACCATCATATTAACATCATCAATATCATAACCACCACCATCATCATTATTATTGATATTGTTATTATTACATTATTATTATTATTATTATTATTATTATTATTATTATTATTATTATTATTATTGTTATTATTATTATTATTATTATTATTATTATTATTATTATTATGTTATTATTATTATTATTATCATCATCATCATCATCATCATCATCATCATCACCCTCGTCATCGTCATAAAGGAATGGCGCATTAGAAAAAAAATAATAAATTTGTTTTTTATACCACTCCAGGTGGCGTTCTACATAAACATTACTCAATGGACCACGAAGAAGACTTTGCAGTTAATAACAAATGTGAGTACAGTATTGAACATTTTGGATCGTTAATTCACTAGTTAAATGGAAATTCTGCCATCATTTTATGGTTATTGTTTTTTCTTAAGTTTGTTAGGAACCGCAATGAAGTCATTGGCAATTTCCTCGGCAGAAGCATGCACTGACATGGCTGCATTCTATTCAACGACATCATACATTCCAAGAGACTCGCTAAAACCACCTAAGACCTAAAACTGGCTAAAGAAACGTTATTTACATTAATTAAAGCTTGGGGCTTGTTAACTTCCGTTCGTTGTTGACATTGTAGATTCATATCTGTGTTTTTTTTTTTTTTTTACATTACAGTATATGCAATTTATTACCAAGAGTCTATAATATAATATAATAATATATATCTGGTGCCAGTGGCGGCGCTACGGGTGGGAAAATATCAAATGGAATTGTGCATCTCTTCTCATCTTATTTAAAATGTCTGTGTTTAAGATGTGTATAAGAGACAGAAACCACAATTTGTCGAAGAGAAAAAACATTCAAAAAAATTATATGTATTTTGTACATATTAATAGACTATAAATTCGATTAAATAATCAGTTGAAACCCCTAAATTGTCATATTTTCGGGGGAGGGGGGCTACGTCTCCTTGTCCACTTTCAAAAGGTTTTTAGCGACGCCCGACCACGCCCACTTTTTCTCATCGTGGACATCAGCCCCCCCCCCCGTCGGGGACCTTGGACCGCCTGTCGGGGAAATCCTGGCGCCGCCACTGTCTGGTGCACAACTTTTAACCTTGAATAATCAAAATTTGTTATAGCCCGACAAAATACTGATATAAATATCTTCATGGATATGTGTACTTCCATGATGTCGATATCAAATAAAGCTACTACTGTAGTGACGGATCCAGAAATTCGAAATAGAGGGATCCACATATGGATTTATGATTATGTCACCTCCATGGTCCGTGGTCTAGATGGCCGGAAATGACTTAAATATGAATACAATTTTCATTTTTCCTTCCATTTAATTAATTTTTGAATAATTTAGGCGGGGGCCAGTTGCACACTTCCCCTTTCCAAATATACAGCGCAGTTGAGCATTTTATATAGGCCTATAATAATAATAATAATAATAATAATAATATTAATATTAATAATAATAATAAGCCTAATGATAGTAATAATAGGCCTAATGATAATAGGCCTAATAATGGGTCTAATAATAATAATAATAATAATAACAATAATAATAAATAAATAGATAGACAGACCGACAGACAGACAGATTGATTGATTGATTGATTGATTGATTGATTGATTGATTGATTGAATAATAATGAAATAAAGCGCCGGTATCCGTTTAATGGGAAACTCACATGGCGCCCCTCTAAAAGAAAGTCGAAATGTGAAATACTTTGTTTATCTTTCAGCTCATGACAGACAAGCGTATATTGAAATTGGCCCTCATTGGAAATGGGCTGGACTCCGGCCTAATGGGCGTTCCTGATGCTCGGTAATTTTTGCTTTTCTTTATCTCAATCCA